CAATCGTCCAAACTCGGTCTCCACGTCGAACACACCTTGCACGAGTGGCGCAGTGGCAACCACATCCCAAGAAGAGAAAATCGTCTAAGTCCACCCAATGAGGAAACAGCTTGCTTACTAAGTGTTTAGAAAAAAAAATCGTCCCGGGCGTTTGTCAATCGAAATAAACCTTGAATGACCATTGATCAATCGGAACTTGTCTTGTCCATCTGCTTCTACCCACCAAGTTGTCTCATTGCTTCGCTGACTCGTCTTATGGCGCTGCCATTTGACATACCAATCAGAGCCATGTAGCCCTAGAGAGTCAAAGCCAAATAAGTTTCGTATGGAAAAGAAATGGGATTTATTTCAAAATAAATGATTTTCTGGTCTTTGGGCTGCTATGGCATCCACAGGAAGCGTATGAACACAAGAGCACCCTCGTTTGATCCGCAAAAATTTAGCGCTTCTGCTGTGCTTGATTTGAAACGCACAGCAGACAGAATCGCCGAGCACGACCCGAAATACTGACTGCCAATTAATCGCACCTGCCTCAATCCCAAGAGCAATATGTTGTTACAAAAAGGGAATACATATGTTACTTTCAAGGAGGTGACCGAACTATCCCGCTGAACAACATATTAAGGTACATTCATGATTCAGGGACGGGGCGTACATGTGCAATCCAGTGCTGTTTGAAGAAGATGAATGGCGCTTGTTGCATTGTTGTAGTGAAGGACAGAGAATATGTAGAAGATCATCCACTTATTGATTCATTAGTAATGTACATAAAGTTACTATATGTAGATAAAACAATGGTTGGTGTAGATGTTTTTATGCAATGTCGCAGCTTGTAGTCGAGTTACAGTTGTTTCCTCTCTCTCTTCGCTTCACTCTCTATTTTTAAATTTGTTTCCAAGTTTGTAAGTCCAAAACGGCAGCGCGTCCAAGAGGGGTCGTCGTCGTCGTCGTCATTGCGTGCTCCACTGCCACTGGCTCGCCGGCTGCGGTGCACGCACGATCTCATGTGTATGTGGATGCCCGTTTGCATTCAGGTCAGAGCTTGAATCACGTCAACCAGCTTGCCTTTTGGACCAGGGTACGCTGTTGTTGTTGTTGTTGTGTGTGTGTGTGTGTGTGGTGTGTGTGTGTGCGGCCGCGCCATTCGATGGCTCCAACCTGGCGCGCTGGGCTCTTGCTGTTCTTTGCTGGACAGGGACTGTGCGGCTTGGCTCATGATGCAGCAATGATTGTTGTCTTGATTGGGTAGTGCAAGTGCCTTTTGCACTTGGCTGGCGAGTGTTCCCCACGCCAGCAGCGTCGCGCAGCCGGTCCACACCTTGTTTGTCCTGCATCAGCCGAAACACCCAGTTGGCCGTTCGTTCTCGTCCCATGCATTCTCTGTCGTACAGCACCGTCCCCATCATCTTTCTTCAGCCCTCTTACTCCCTTGCTCACCCCCTCCCCTGCTTACCCTTCGCGCACGCGCGCGCTCTCCCTCTCTCCTTGCATACAACTAGACCACTGCTCTTGTATGCGAGCCTACACGCGCATGTATCGACTTTTGGGTGGGCGGGTGTGGTGCTGATTCAGAGTTTGTCCCTTCAGCTACCCTTTGTGCAGCCCAGGCCCCACCGACGCCCACCACGATGGATCACGACCAAAAATGGGATTGCGAGGCCATTCAAGGCAAGGGCCTTGGCCCCTTCTTGCTTGGCATGTCGTTGAACCACGCCATAAACTTGCTGAAGCAAGAATATGAGACATCACAACGCGTCGACATCATCTACAACCCTGCAGTGAGACTATGGCCCTGGCCTCGTTATTTTCGTTGCGCCCTCCCTACCTTTCGCTTGTGCGCTTGCTCCAGCTTGTTTGTTTCCTTCTTGCTTGATCCGCAGCTCATGAAAGGATCATGTCTCTTTTTGCATGTGGTTGCCCTCACACCTAGAATGCCAATGGTACCAACATTATGGTGGATAATCGGGCGGGTGGCTTCAATCTTCGATTTGCCGCCGACACTCAACTTCTAACCGTCATTGAGGTCTACGACCCGGCCAGGCTTGTTCTGCATATCAGGTCGGGCACCAAGCTTGACAACTTGCTTTGCAATTCCAGCGAGCTAATATCAACGCTCCAACCAGTTGTTGGATTCAAAGTTCAGCTCATCGGCGCTCATTCTCATCCGTGAACTGTACATGTGGTGTCCTGATCTTAGCGGACAAGTCGTGTCTGATCTGCCAGAGGTTCAGCCCACTTTTGAGCGCCTCTACTGTGCCCTTAGCGTTTGCCCTGGCGGTGAGCTTCGTTCGACCTCCCGTCTTTCTTTTTCTTTTTTTTCTTTTTTTCTTTTTTTTTTTTTTTTTTTTGTGGCGCGCATTGTTGCTGATAAGCAACGTTGCCATAGAGTATGACAAGGACCGCCACAAGTTTGTGCTGCAATACTATGGCATGGCCCTCTTCTTCAATGTCCCCGAAGCCCTTCAGGTTGGTTATACTCACTCCCTTTCTCTGGTGCAACCTTTCTCTGGTGCAACTCGAATCCCATCGCGATTGTTCGACCCCACACGCGATGGGCTTTCCATTCACGTTGTGCATGCGGTAGGAAACGTATGGGTCCAAAGATGTTGACCTGGCAGCCACATACCGACACCTCGACAATTCAATTCCAATGCTGGATAATCTCGTGATTCACCTTGGTACGGTTTTTTGTTAGAAAGTGGCAACTTGCTTCTTGCCGCTTCCCCGCGTGCTTTTGACCCCGCTTCATGGCCTGTTTTGATTCCATTGATTGCAGGCGACAAGTGGCGGTTTCCCGAGGCTCCGCCCAAGGCCGACGAGGTTTACCGTGTTTGGCCGGGCTTGGGGCTCGACGTTGGCTCCACAACGGTCCGTGGCAAGCAAATGGTAGGAGCCCGGACAGACCCTTGTTCTTTTCTCGCAATGTGACCGTCCCATCTCCCACTAGTCACCTTATCTTGGCGACTGTCGATCCGTAATTAGATCAAGTTTGGCGCTTCCATTCAAGACGTTCTTTTAGCCTTGGGCCCGCCAGATGATGTGTACTACAAGGTAGGCGACGGAAATCTTGATTTCCAAATTCCTTGCCGCACCCGTTTGACATGAAAGACATCAAGGAACAAAAATAAACAAAAACATAACAACTATCGCTTTGTTTGCTTACGTGTCCTTTTTCGATTGTGAATCTGTTGTGACCTACTCCTTTGTCAGTCGGATGTGCCAGATGGCCAATCCCACACCGATGTTTTTTACAACTACTATCGGCATGGACTGGACGTCATGTTTGATGGTCGGTTCAAGACGGTGATCAAGCTCCTGTTGTACACCAATGTGCCGGGCCACTACGAGTTTTCCCGCTATCAGCGCTGCCCTTTCCAACTTCACTTGCAAGCGCGTGCTTCGGAGAGTACGTTTTGAAGGCACCATCTGCTTCATTCGTCATGACTTTCCTGCCCTTGTTCTTGTGCGTGTGGTGCAGCCTGACGTGTTGGACTGTTTCCTGGCATGTAGATGGTGCAGCTTTGGCTTCAGCCGCCACCGGCCAGGCCCATCAGACCAACAGCAATGGTACAAGGCACGCCCAGGCTTTGCGGGTGGATGACGACCATGACCACGGCCACGACAATACCCCCGCCAAAGCCCCGTCATCCAACAAGACGACCAAGAGCGGCAAGGGTCAAAAGTCGAGCAAGAATGGCAAGGGCAAGGGCAAGGGGAGCAAGGCTAAAAAAGGAAACAAAGCAAACAAATCAAGCAAGAGCGGTGGCACCCAAAACGACAAGCACCGACTGGCCGAGGCCGCATCCAGTGGCTGGGGCGACTTTGACAGTGATGATGATGAGCTGGAGCAACATTCCGGTAGTGGAGAAAATGATGGTGAGGGGACTGGAGAATCCGACTCGGACTCGACCCCCGCACCCATGGCGGCATCTGTGGTTCACCAGCAGCCAACGGCTATGGACACGACAAGCCGTTTGCAGCCGGTTGACCTGCGTTCAACTCACGAGGACGTTTCGGTTGCTGAAAGTGGCGAAGAAGTGGCGTCGCTCATCAAGGTGTTTCCCACCACCAACGTAAGATATGGTTTTGCGCGAGACATCTCCTCCGAGCTTTCTGACTTAGGAAAGGGGGGGGTTGACGGTTCCCATGCACTCGTGTCACACAACTCACGCTATGATCTGGTTAGTGGCAAAATCTGCCCAAGAGTTTACACAGCACGTTTGGCAAGGCCGTGATTTTGAATCGCCCCGCTCTTCCAAATGCGACCAACCCTTTTCACCCTTGCTTCCTCTACGGCACCGACACTGTTTTGATTGAGGTAACCATAACCACTGAGGCATGCCCTTTGTGTGTGTGTGTGGGTGGATGAATGGTTTGGGGATTGATTTTGTCGCTTTTTTGACTCATCATCCGCTTACTTGATTTGGGTTAGACAACACATGAAGGTGATGTTGCCGTGGTTACCCTCTCGCAACCCACGCCGTCTGTCGGCAGCCCGTCGTGAAAACCTTTGCCGCCTGAGTTATCGAGGGGGACGCACGGTCTGTGTGATAAAAGCTCCTGTTACAGTCTTCGGCGCTCTCCCATCCGATGATTAAGAGATCGCCGTCAAGGCTGAAGAGTGAGAGGGCCAGATTGATATAGTACCGAATTTATTCGAATGAGTCAAGCACTTGAACTCGCCGTGAAGGAACTTCTTTATGACGCTTTGGATGATGATGTGCAGGCAGCCAAGACAGCCGTGGGTGCCACAAACCCGTAGCTCATGGGTGGGACCATTAGCGTGGCGGCTTCGAAGTGAACGGGAGCAAGGTCTGGGACCTTGGCACAATGAATAACAAAGCGTCAGCACATCGGGGGCACTTGCACCAGGTCGAGGGCGAGAGGTTCTTGAGTTACAAGCACAAAGGGGAGACCTTACCTCGGGCAGGGTACGCTTCAGCGTCCGATTGTTCAGGGTTGCGACTTGGCTGCCCGTGTCGCTTCCATTGAAAAGCCAGACATCCAGTTCAGAGACTGCATCAGACCAATCCAATCTAATAGCCGCAGGGCAGTGTGTTGAGAAGGTTACTTTTTTGAACAAGATGCTATGCGGCCATGGCGGCACGTACTGAAAGCTGACGTTGGTTGCAATGTTTATAAATGCGTAGACGGCTCGACCATCGCGAGCCGCGTGGCAGTGGGCGTACACATGCAGTTGGCTGGTATTGGTGCCTGCTGTCAGGGTCACATCCAAAACGGCCGTGCCCATGAGGCGGTTGAAGAGAATCGCCACAAAGGCGTCGGGGTTGGGAAAGTGTGTGCCCAGCTGCAAGCAAAGGACGGCAGCGAGGATGTGAGAAGCGTGGTCGTGCATGAGCCGGAACGAAAAGCAGAGCGTGAGTACCTACCTCCAGCAAGCCGTAGTGCGACCCAACCAACGCTTGGCGACCAAACTCCCAGAGGCCAAGCCGCGCCAGGCCACCAAGAGCATCAAGGTACCAGAAGGAACTAAAGACGCGATCGGTGACGTTGGCAATGCCACCGCCGTTGTGAGGTCCGCATTCACCGCACCATAGGGGAACACCGGCCGTGCGAGCCATGGTGGACATGGCTTGGGCTTGCACCAGGGTCTGATCTAAGAAGCCGGGTTGATGCCAGTCATTGCCACCATTGTTGTTGTAGCTGCAATTCCAAAGTGCGTGGGGCAATAATCAAGACCGTGTGCATGAATGGACCAGATTGGGACTGTCACGCGTACCAGCGTGCAATACCTGTGCATGACGAGTCCTTGGACGAGTCCAGTGGGGACAGTGGCATTGACAAAGGCTGGCATCCGAAAGACGAGTTGTCGTGAACTATTCTATGTTTCTTTGGCAAGAGCTGCCATGATTGGGCTGGCAAGAGTCATGACGTATTTGAGCACGGCAGCTGACCTTGCCAAAAATCATTTTTATTGGGCGGTGCGTCGCTCATGCCTACGCAGGGGCCCAAAACAAGGGGCTGTGGAAAGCATTGAGGCAAGGCACCAAAGGTCAGGCTGAGAATTGCCTTGCCATGGTGGGTGCAGGCTTCACGTGGGGTGAGCTAGCAACCAATCGTACGGGATTGCTTGGCCAGAGCTCGGTTGTCCACCGGTGCACGCTCTTGTAGGCGTCGATCAAATGGGAGAAGGAAGCACCTTGCGGCCAAGGCGCCATCTCCTCACCCACCTCAAAAGCGTGAATCTGAGATCAAAAGTCAAGGCCAAGGAGGCCAAGAAGGCGAGCAAAATGAGCTGTACTGGTGATGTCGGGAAAGATTGAGCCTCACTCGGGGAAGGGGAAAGGGGGATGCAGTCACAAAAAAAAAAAAAAAAAAAGTGAGCAACAGACGGTGTGATTGTGTAAAGCGGTCCATTGCAGCAGGGCATGCGTGTTTCGTCCATCATAGCCGGTAGAATTGGTGCGAAACTGCAGACCAAAGACCAGACGGGCGCCAATCGAGGCAGTAAAGCGCAGAACCTGCACATTGCCAAGTGCGCCGTGATTGAGCTACGGGGCCACACGTGCAGGCACCATCGTGGACTCGAGGCTGCGACGCACAGCTTGCCAGCGTTCCATGTCCAAGCAGAGGGTCACATTTTGTTTGCGAAAGATCGAGGGTGCTTGACATTCGCTCTCGTTCATGTCCCCGACCCTGCCATGGTTGATTGTGAGCAAAGAGTGTGTCGACATGTGGGTGGACGGTGGGATGACGCACAGATATTTGACAATATTGTCTTCACTACCACCGATGCGAAGGACGCCGGGCGCAATGGCAGAAGCATAGTTGCGAACAAAGGGGTCGCTGAGGTTGAGGTCGAGTACCGAGGCATTGCCCCAGCTACCGCCCGACTCTGATGTGTTGTGCCACCTAGTGTCAGGAGGAGCAAGGGGTGAGATCGGCACGTCATCAAGGCCAGCCACTGGTTGATGAGCAGCAGCAGTCACACACGCACATCCACGCACACACCACGCCGGCCATGCACAGACACCAACCAGTCAAGATCAAAGGAAGCAAATCCCGGCATCACATGGCCGATGGGCTGTGGACTCGGCTGCAACTTGACGGGCTGGGGTGTGGGGGCTCGATCCAACAGTGGCTCTGCTGCCGTCAACGCCAACACGGCCCCCATCCCCCAGCAAAATGCCATCACCCGGCCAATAAGAACAGAAGACAGGTCCTGCAGACAGCCCCGGTTTGGTCGTCGCGGTGCCATGGAAGCGAATCCAAGCAAGCAAGCAGAACGAGCAACCGAACTCATCGTCGGTGCCAAGAGAGAGAGTGAGTGTGTGTGTGTTGTGGGAGAGGCTTTTCCATAACATTGCGCAAGCGTCTTGAATAGTTTATGCTGACTGCATTCGATGATGTTTGTCAGAACATTCGTCGACTTGCTTGACAACAGCAAACAAGTCTCTCTCTCTCTCTCTCTCTCTCTCTCTTGCTCTCTCTCTCTCTCTCAAACTCTCTCAAACTCTCTCAAACTCTCTCTCAAATTCTCTCAAACTCTCTCTCTCTCAAACTCCTCTCTCGCGCATCAGCGAGGACAGCGGCACAGAGCGAGCGGCGCGGCGGATTTTGAGAGCGTGCGTTTGCGGCAGGGGTTTGAGGACGCCAAGCGAAGGAGGATGAGTGGCAATGGGGGCAACGGGGGCGGCGGGAATGCCGCCGGGAACAGTGGGGGCGGTGGCAACAATGCGCTCGGGGCGCAGTTTTGTCGAGTCGTGTACGGCAATGAGGAGAGCGCGCTGATCAACTTGGATTGCCGGCTGCGGCACATTATGGACTTTTTGGCAGACTTGTTGGACATGGAGGCGACGGCACAGTTGGATCTAGCCTCGGAGCGGGGAAGACTGTGCGATGTGCCAGGCCAGGCCGATATGGATGCGCGTGGTACGAGCGCCTTCAAGGCCAAGGCCGTCTATGTCCCCGTGCTGTACACGCAGGGTGTATCGCCCAAACTGGGTGACTCGCTGGGCTCCAACACTGGCAGCCAGGTGCCCTCGCGACCAGGCTCTTCACGCTCCCTGGTGGGGCGACAGGCCAGCAACGGCAAACAGCGCCGTGGTGACGCCGAGGATGGCGGTGGAACAAAGGGAGGCGGTAATTCGGACGATCAGGGCAAGCGCATTTACAACATTCTGTGTGACGCGACCTATCTGCAGACGGTTTGCCCGTCCTTTGAACTGACCCTCTCCAACGGTGGCAAGATCAAGAAGCAACACATCCGTCGTTGAGCCCTGCGCACCCTCAAATACCGACCACGGCCATCCCAACCGTTTGAGAGTCGGGCGCTCCCGTTGAACCCTGATCAACCCCGCCTAGCTATGAAGGAAAAGCCTGCTTAAATCCTCGGCTGTCTCTTCACCTTTTTCCTCTTCTTCTTCATCATCCTAATCGATTGACTTTTCTTAGCATATATAGAACTATGCAGTGTCCATTGTTGATTCATGTCAAGTGGCAAGCGATACCCTTTGTTGGAATAGAAGACGCTCGGCGGCACCGAAAGGAGCTGCACGCTGGTCCCGGCCATTGTTGCGCGTCGCCGAATCATCCCAACACCGGTGGAATGCGCTTTGGCATTGTTCCTTGCTTCTTCTTTTTCTGCGTTGTTCATGGGTGATCGGTGGAAGGAATCTTTCAAGCAATGTTGATTCTCATTCAAGGATTGAATTTCTTTTGGCGCTGTACCGAGTGAAAAAAAGGGGGGGGAGGGGTATTCAGCGGGCAAACAACGCGCACTCGGCGCGCGTCAACACAAGTTGGGACATAGAGATGTAGCCTGATGTGATGAACTACAGAAAGAGTCGCTCAAAAAAAGAGAAAGAAGGCACAGGCGGAAAAGACAACGCCACGGCAGCAAGTATCACGCAGAAACCAACGAAAAGAAGGGCAAATAAAAAATTGAGCTTGTGTGTGTCACAGAACACGCACGGGCTGTGGAGAAGAAAAGACAACGCCTCAAAACCAGCACCAGAGGTACGAATTGAACCCTAAGAGAGGTTTTGGAGTACGTCTTGGAGAAAAGGATGTTGGTTGGCCACTTGGTGGGCCACTTGCAGGGCGCCAGGTACCGTACGGAGGGCAGAGAGGAGGTCCGTACAAGCGTTGGAGGCTTGTTGGAGTTGTTGCGTGGTGGCGTTGAGGTCGCGGCGCATTTGTGCCGGGGACTGGGGGTGGGGCACTTCGCCGCGTTCACGTCGCTCACGACGACGAACACGAGCCCCCTTTTGGTAGCGACGATTCTTGTGGCGACGACGGGCCATGCGAAGATCGGCAATTTGATCCTCCGTCAAATTTTGGCTGTGGGTCAGCTTGGTAAACTCGGCACGGCTCATTTCCAGCACGTCGGTGGGCCAGGCATACTTGGATGGAACCGTTGATACAGCCGGCTTGGGCTGGCGCTGGCGTAGAGGCACGCTCAGAAACTGACCGCTTTGGCGACGAATGCCCTCATCTCCCTATCCAGGAGGAAAAAAAAATTAACATGTAAAAAAAAAAATGGATCAGTTGCTATGAGAGCGGAGAGGCAAAAGGGAGGGAGAAAAGGGAAAAAACAAAAACAAAAACAAAAAAAAAACACCCACATCTGCAGAAGCGCGACGGGACGACTTACCGAGAATTCCAAGTCATGCTCCGAGTCGTGAAGGGAAGAGTGAGTGCCTTCCGAGGTGACGTCGCTCCACTCGCTGTTGCATTCGCTGTTGCTGGCGCTATGGAGATCGGAGATGATGCCGGTGACATCCTCGAGGTTGGGAAAGTCGGGCCCCGTGGTGTCCATGTGGGCGGTGGAAGGTTGTAAATTGGCGCCACTGTGACCAAAAACGGCATTGACGTTGTTAAAGGCCATGGACGGGAACATGGCGTCCGAGGCGGAGGTCGCCGGGGAGTGTGCTTTCAACGCCACGGAATCACTCAGATCGACCATGGGAAGATGCATGGTACTCAGCAAAGCAGGGTCGACGACATGGGCATGGGCATTGGCAGATCCCAAGTCGTCGGCGGCGGCGGAGGTGGAGGATGGCGGCCAGGCATTGTAGGTTGTGGCCGGCGCGAAGCTGGCAGCAGGAGGAGTCACCTGAATGACGGGCGTGTCGCGGCGTCCATGGCCTTGGGGAGCGGCAGCAGCTGCAACAGCGTTGCTGGCGGCGGCGGCGGCGGCGGCGGCGGTGGAGGTGTTGATGGTGTCCATCGGCTGCATGTTGAAGCTGTTGATCAAGTCGACGTCGGCGACCAATGACTTCATGTCGGTGGCAAAGTCGGTGTCCTGGCCCGCCATGTCCTCCGTCCCCGTGCCGAGCTGGGAAAAGTACGTGGGCATGTCCTCCAAACCCGACGCGCTGCCAACGGGCTGGGGCGGTGGAGCCGATCCATTGTGGTCGTCGGCGGTGGAATACATCAACAGTAGACCCAGCACGAACGGTCGTGTTCTCCTTCAAAGTGCGCGCTGCGCAAGACCAGGAGAGGCAGAAAGCGAGCGAGGAAGAGCGAGAGAGGCACAGAGAGGGAGGAGGGAGCGGAAGTGAGGAGTGAGGAGTTCCAAACACGGCGCCCAAAGGTCAGTGACAGGAAGGCGCGCACGAGGTCGCCACCTGTAAAGGGTAAACGAGAAAAATGCAGTCAACGTGTGTGTGTGTGTGTGTGTGTGTGTGTGTGGATCGCACGCTGCCGTTTGAAAAGCAAAAAAGCAAAGCAGGGGAGAGGGAGAGAGAGGGGAAAATAGGCTATGTATTTTACTTTTCTGGGATTTGTAAAGATTCAGGGGGATAATTAGCGCTCAAACTGATTGTAAATCATCACATCACAAGCAAATGGTGAATGTGTGTGATTTATGTTACACTTTTGAAAGGAATCATGCTGATGCCCTCAGCACATTTGCCCGCGGTACGTGTGCAGCGGGCGCAAGATCTGTTCCATGGGATTCAACTAGTAAAATACTTTTTTCAAAACCGTCTTGAGTAAAAAAGTATTTTACATAATAACATTCTCTCAACAGTTTTTTTTTTTTTTTTGAGAGAGAGAGAGAGTGGCAGTGGGCACACGACGACGGACTCTTCAAAGCCTGATCCGCTCGCTCGCTGCCGCGGATGCACGTGAGGAGGAGGCGTAGGAGTAGCAGTTGTGATCGAGCTGTGGGGGTCGATCGACCCGTGGAGAGAAAGGTGGAAACGTAGGGTGGACACGCGGCTGGCTGGCTTTGCGGAGTTGTGCATGGACTTTGGGCGCAACCGGTTGCGAACCCCGTGCTGGGGTGAGCAGAAATACGGGGAGCTCCCTTGCCCCGGCCCGTCCTTCTTGGCCTTCTCTTTGATTTCAGTTGCCCAGGAGCTGTAGCACGACGCTATAACCGGTGTGCTCCTCCGTCCAGATTGGCGCTTCTTCTGGCAGCACATGGTTGTGGTTCGCCGATCCTGCCCTGACCGACACCGGATCGGCACCGCTGGACCACGCGCGAGCACTCGAGCGCCGTGGCGTTGGAAATTGGCAAACTTCCCGGCATGGCAGGATCGTTTGGAAGCTGGAGTCAGCTCGACCCGGCATACATCACACGCGCGCTTCAGTCCCACGAAAACGCGCTCGCTCGCCAGGACCTCATCAACGCCCTAAACACGGGAGATACAGCCACGGTGGATACCATCTTCAGCGGAAGACCTGAACTCCGCGATCAGCCCATCGATGAGAGTGGCAACCTGCCCCTTCACCTTGCCCTTCGCAACTGCGCCATAGCTTACGCCGCCGAGGAAGCTGCAAATCTCGATGCCAACTCATCGCTTCTCATGGCCAACGCGCAGCTCGCTGGCGCCCAGACCTGCCTGACCCCAGAGAGCGCCCTTGATGTCCTGCAGCATCTCCTTGGCTATGGCCCGGACACCTCCCTTGCCAACCTTGCCGGCATTGCCCCGCTACACCTCGCGGCCCAGCTGGGCTTGGTTCGCTGCATCGAGCCTCTTGTTCGCGCTGGTGCTACCTTCTCGCAGGCGGATCTTCGGGGTTGGCACCCTCTCCACGCCGCCGCTGCCCAGTGCGTTTTCCCCTCCCCTCGCTCTTGGGTCGCACCACGAGTGATCACAAGCCGCAAGCACAAAACCATTTTGCCATCGTTCCTTGCCGCTCAGCCTCTGCTCATACTTTCCAAATGCCTTCTCGCTTCTCCAGTGGTCATGCAGAGACTTGTCAGGCCCTGTTGCGGTACAACTGCGACGTGGATGCCCTCTGCCGCAACCACTCTAGCCCATTGGCCCTCGCCGCCCGTGCTGGCCACGTCGGTTGCATGCGCGTTCTCATTCACCACGATGCTACCGTTGATCTCAAAAATCTACGCCGCGAAACCATTCTGCACTTTATCTGCGGTCGACCCAATGTCAAGCGCCAAGCTGGTATGCCACTGGTGGACTGCAGATGGCTTTTACGACTGTGCCAACCCTCTTTTCCTTTGCTTGCTCTTTCGCTCTCGGTTTCTCGATTGGCTTGGTGTCACGAATGGCTTTGCATGCCACCGCCGCGCAAATGCTTTCCATAGTTAAAATGCTGATCGAGGCCGGTGCCGACGTGAATGCTCAGAGTCTCGAGTCTCGGACCTGTCTTCGAGCGGCCGCTTATGCTGGTATGTTTTGTGGTGGGCTGTCATTGAGACTTTCTCATCCCAAGTTGAAGACACGGCTCGCGGGTGTGCTTGCCAAGCGTGCCTCTCATATAAACCTTTCTGTTCGACAGGCAATGCTGAAGCTGCGTCCCTGCTGCTCTGTGCGGGAGCCAACCCTACGGTCAGTGGCTCATGGCACCTGGCGCTGACCTGTGGTCGCCAAAAAAAAAAAAAAAACCCTTGTTCCTCATGCCCTCATCCAAGGCATGGCCTGATGATTTCTCTGTGGTATTACGTTCTTAGATCCACAACAACTCTGATGCCTCGCCTTTGGCCGTGGCACGCCAGCGGGGCCACGGCGATGTGGAGCAAGTCTTGCTTGCCGTGGATCTTTTCCACGTAAGATCTCGCCTTAACCGCTTGGTTGTTCAGCAGCACGACCACCAACCCCCATGGCTGATACCCGACGCTGCCTTCACCCCCGTATATGTTTGCTTGCATGACAGACGGGCCTACCCGAGACAGGCGTGCCCACGCTGGAGGCGCTCTGTGTGGCACGGGCACGAACCATGCATGCCGAGGCTGGCCATGACCATCGGGTGCTGCTAGCCAACCGTCTTCCCTTGGCTTGCAAGCGGCTCCTCGTTCTCAATAATCCTTATCTTTCCCGGGACCTCAATCTCATCGCCGAGCGATCTTGAGCTCCAGAACCGTTGATGAACATGGCAATCGTTCTTTCTCTTTCTTGTGCCGAGAGGATCTTCCCTTGTCCCTCCTTTTTGCCGTGTTTTTTTTTTTTTTTTAATGTTTTTGTGTTGATTCTTTTGCTTTTGACTGGTCTGCCTGTTTTTTTTGAAGTTTGACGACACGAATGAGAAAAGCCCATGCATTGCTACTGGTGCCATCGGTCTTTTAATGTTAGCGGGTGTGAGTCATCATCCGACCAGGTCTCATGATGTGAGTGTATCTCTTTACCTGCACTTGTTACAAAGTTGCTCACAAAGCTTGGGCCATAAATTTTAACAACAAACATGCCATTTTGATCTTAACCATAAAGTCGAACGTAAAAATTTAATGAGATGGGGTGCCTTGAAACACCCGATACTCATTTGCACTCCAACAAGAATCGGACAATGGGCAATGGGGATGCACGCATTCAACAAGGGAGCATCAATTGGTAATGCGAGGCTGAGTATAGCAAAGCATCTCACTCACACGGGAATCCCGATGGCTTGAGCAGCGTCGATGCGAAGCCACCGAGAGCAGACCAGCAACATACCTCTTTCCGTGAGATCCAATTACTCCATGCTTGTGCCAAGTGCTCAAGTCAAGATTCGAACTCACTGCGCCGCCTGGGCAACCTTTTTCCTGGGCGGCGTGCAAACGAGCAGCATATGTGTACATGCATGTCTTCGACGTGGGGTTGTCTGTCCTTTATTGCCTGCACAGGAACCCCACATCCAACACACGGGCCACGTCGCGCAAGTACAACAAGTGCACCCCCACCCCCGACACACCGTTGTGTCTCAACCATTCCAGGCCCGGCTTTTGTTTTCTCACAAATTATCAGGCCCCTGGACCTCTGGAAGCACGGATTTGACGCAAACAGAGATCTAAAGCAAAGAAAGAATTTACATATAGCAACAGACCTTTTGTCCAGCCAGCTCGCATGTCTTCTCGCACCAGCTCGCATGTCTTCTCGCACCTGCTCGCATGCCAGCGCGCAGAGACATCCGTCAACCCCATAGCAAGAAGATGAAGCAGTCGAACATACTTGTAAATGACAGAAAAGAGGGGTAAGATCAACTTAAACATGTGTTGAATCACTTCCGAGGGGTCAACCCTTATCCTCTAAAGTTAACATAAAACGGAAGACAACTCATCACACAGCTGTAGCTCTGCTGAGAATCTGGCATAGCGTTGTACCTCTGAACGTCTTGCCAGAATGATTCTCTTCTCTGACTTCCCTTTGATTTAACACCACTTTACACTGAATAATCACCCATATTTCTCATATCTCTGATTCCACACCCCGCCCCTGTTCTTCCCCTCACCCTCGACATCCTCTCTCTCTCTCTCTCTCTCTCTCTCTCTTTCTTTCTCTTTTTCTTTTGGCAGCGAGCTGGTTCTCGTTCCGCTCAAGGCGTGGACGCCATCTCTGCTCAGTGCCAGTGCGGCCGTCGCTCTGCGTCTTGGTTGACGTGCTCTTCTCTGCTGCCAGCGTTCTTCTTCCTCTACTCTTCCTACCTCGCGTTCTGGTCATCGAGTCGCTCCTCGTGTTGTCGTCATCTTTTTGGGACGTCATGCGCCATTGAGCTGGCTCCGCCTCCCTCCCGGCCTCGTTGGCTTCATCATCATCAGCCGCGCCACTTGGCACCATCGTTGCCGTGGCCGGCGGCGCATCGAGGCATGATGTCGCACAGTTCAACGCGTGCCAAAGCGCTGGGGCCCTCAGCAAGGCGGTCCACACCGCCAAACCACGTCCAAGTGCTCGCGCGCTGCTTCCTCCTGTGCTCGCTTCTGCTCCCTGCAGCCGGTGAGTGTCGCCCCTCTGACCTTGTTTGAGCCCCATTGTAGAGCCTGCCATTTTTTTTTTTTTTCATAGCTGAAGCAGGGCTCTCATATATTTGTGGACTTCACTTCAAAGCAGGAGCGACGCCCGAGGCTCCGTGCTCGAGTTGCGACGCTGTGGCCCATTTTGCGACGCACGGGATACAGGGCATCGTTGAGTTTCAGCAAACCGCTGGCAAGGTGCTTGTCAACGCCTCCCTTACCGGGGCTGACGGGCCACTGACCGCACAACCTTACTCATGGTACATCACCGAGTATCCTGTCGATTACACCCTTTCTCCCACCGATCGGTGTACCCGAGCAGCTCTTGGTGGTCGATATGACCCAGAGAACAAACGTGCCGCCAGCAATTATTCAACGCTGTGTACCCCTGCCGATCCCTCCAATTGCGCCATTGGGGATCTCGACACGTCTCTCGGGCGTCTACCAGAGGCCTTTTGCGCCACCAACCAATTATGCCGCTCTGGCCTCTTGCCTTCTACCATTGCGCCTCTCTCAGGCGCGCAAAGCATCATCGGACACGCGGTCCTTCTTCTTGACGTCAATCAAAACCCAGTAGCTTGCAGCGAAATACGACGCGTTCAGCTTGATGCAGTCTCGGGTCTCCGTGTGTTTCAGCCAATGACAACTTTGATGGCTCGTGTTGACACGGGCAGTTACTTTCGCCTCGATGCTATCATGCGCCAACCCAGAGACGATCCCACTGCCAACACCCAGCTGTTTTTAAAGTATTCCTACGTCAGTGCGCTCGTCAGCTCCACCAAACAACATCGCTGGATGATCGGTGACAGTCCCACTGGCATCGACGCCGTTCGTGATAGCAGTCGATGCTTCTCAGCTGGCTCCCGCTACTCGCCAGCCGGCGTCTCAACCCCCTGTTCCTCTGGCACCTGCTCTGTGGGAGACCTGGATTTGAAGCATGGGTACTTGGATGTGGCGCCGCAGCAGCGACGCGTATTTGTCACAGACACAGCTCTGCCTCTGAGTGGACTCAACAGCATTGTCAATCGCAGCATCGTCGTCTTTCAGGGCTCGCTCTCCTCGCTGCGTCTGGCCTGTGCGACCATCATCACCCAGCCAACCCGGTCCTACTCTGCCTTGGTTGACATGGAGGGGGTTTATGGCTCTATCACCTTTACACAAAACTATTTTGAACCGCACACCACCGTCACCACCAACATCAGTGGTTTAGCTTCGCGCGTTGGGGGCTGGCACGTCCATGTGTTGCCGGTGCCGAGTGCGGATCTGGTGGGTGGCACGGCGGGGCGGGCGCAGTGCAGTGCTGCCGCGGTGCAGGGCCATTATGATCCGTATGGCGCGGGTCAGACGTGCAGCAGCAGCGGCTTGACAGTGGACCAGTGTGAGGTTGGGGACCTGTCGGGCAAGCACGGGAGCTTTGCGGGGCAGAGCAGCGTGAGTGCGAGCTACGTGGACTACAACCTGCCGTTGTTTGGGCCGTCGACGATTCTGGGCCGGAGCGTGGTGTTGCACGAGGTGACGGCGGGCAGCCCGCGACTGGCGTGTGCGACCATTGGCTGGGCCCCTGAGGTGCAACTGATTACATCTGTGGCCGAGTTCAAGGGTAGTGTGCTGGGGCATATTACTTTGCAACAGCCGCGCGACATTGCTTTTGCAGAGACGACCATTGTGGTGGATTTACGCTATAGCAACATGTCAATGGGCCCGACCTCTGGGCATTCATGGCACGTTCATCAATCGCCTGTGAGCAACATGGATTGCGGGACTGCACAGGGCCACTACAACCCGTACAGCGTGTGTCTGAGTTCGGCTTGCAACTACAGCGCCAGTTGTGGTGAGGGCCAGCAGCAGTATGGTTGCGAGCTTGGAGATCTGACCGGTAAGCACGGGGCTGTGAGCGTGGCAAGCAGTGCAAGCCTTCCGCTGAGCCGGGCCGTGTACACGGACCTGCAGTTGCCGCTGTCTGGAACGGAGAGCGTGGCCAGTCGGTCTATTGTGCTACATGGGCCCGCTGGTTCAGGAACGCGGCAGGCATGTGCGAGCTTGAATGTCTTGCAACCGCGAAGTGCCGAAGCCATATTTTCCATGGAAGGGGTATCTGGCACGGTGAGCTTTAGTCAATCGTATCCGGGAGCGCCGACGACGGTGTCGGTCGAGCTTGACGGGTTGGCCTCGCGCGTTGGGGGCTGGCATGTCCATGTGTTGCCGGTGCCGAGTGCGGATCTGGTGGGTGGCACAGCGGGGCGGGCGCAGTGCAGTGCTGCCGCGGTGCAGGGCCATTATGATCCGTATGGCGCGGGTCAGACGTGCAGCAGCAGCGGCTTGACGGTGGACCAGTGTGAGGTTGGGGACCTGTCGGGCAAGCACGGGAGCTTTGCGGGGCAGAGCAGTGTGAGCGCGAGCTACGTGGACTACAACCTGCCGTTGTTTGGGCCGTCGACGATTCTGGGCCGGAGCGTGGTGTTGCACGAGGTGACGGCGGGCAGCCCGCGGCTGGCGTGTGCGACCATTGGCTGGGGCTCCGATGTGAAAGTGCTGACGTCGGTGGCCGAATTCCGGGGCTCTGTATTGGGGCACATCATTTTGCAGCAGCCCGAATCACTGGTGTTTGCGGAGACAACCGTGTTAGCTGATCTCCGGTACAGCGATGGGTCGCAGATGGCGACTTCTGGGCACAAGTGGCATGTGCATGAGACAGCCGTCAGTGGGATGGATTGTGCTACTGCCGGGGGGCACTTCAACCCATTTGGAGTATGCTTGACAGAAGCATGTGGTTACGGCTCGGGCTGTGGTGCGGGTGTGCTTCAGACTGGCTGCGAGGTGGGTGATTTGTATAGCAAGCACGGTGGCCTGAGTATTAGCGCCGATGCGACGCTGCCGACGTCGCGGTCCGTGTTTACGGATTTGGAGCTGCCGCTGTCTGGTACGGAGAGCGTGGCCAGTCGGTCCATTGTGTTGCACGGTCCAGATGGTGCTGCGGCACGGCAGGCGTGCGCGAGCTTGCGTGTGATGTCACCGCGGGAAGCACGCGCAGTATTCTCGATGGAGGGCGTGGTTGGGAGCATTGTCTTTCGCCAGGCGTATCCGGGAGCGCCGACGACGGTGTCGGTCGACCTCGACGGGTTGGCCTCGCGCGTTGGGGGCTGGCATG